TTGAACGGTCCAGCGAAGTCAACATGAACACGGGACCATGGTTTGTCCGGTCGTGGCCAGGAACATAGTTCTGTCTTGCGTGGACACTTTGATGCTTGAGCACATTTACTACACTTGCGAACGAGGTCTTCGATATGGTCATCGATGTTGGACCAGTAAACATAACTGCGAGCGATCGCCTTCATTCTCCCTACACCAGGATGTGATATATGAAGCTGCCGAAGCACATGGTCACGAAGATTAGCTGGAACGACAACACGATCAGCAAACATTATGCATCCATTAACGATGGATAGGGATTGGCGTCGCTGGTAAAACTGTTTTAAAACATTTGAATGAACATGTGGAGGCCAGCCAAATCGGGTGAACTTTGATACTTGCTGTAAAACTGGATCACGCAGTGTGTGTCTGGCAACCTCAACTGCAGTCACCGGAAGATCGTCCAGAGAGATAGACATTATAATTGGGTTGTAATTTACACAGTCAAAAATGTTATATAGTTGCGCTGAACAGAATAAAAACTGTCGTCGTTTGCTTGTTATAACTGCAATGAATTAAGGTAAATCCCCGTCACCAATTTGTTATATCTGTAGGGAATTGAATGAATACGTTTTCACCTTGCTCTGTCTGCGCCTGAACTAATCTGTCTATCTGCTCGTCGTACCTTCCGACTTAGTAAAGCACGCAAATATCAAAAGACAAAGGCTGGACTGTGACTGTGTATTGAAGTGCAACAACGATAAAGAAAGCCATGGTATTTATACATTTTACAACAATATGGACAGCTAACAGCATTTGAAATAATTGACCTTAATAGCCAATAACAAAGTGTGTGAGAAATGATAATATGCCATATGTGCGACATTGACAGTCAGTAACAAAATGTATGGGAATGATAATATACCATATATATAAAATTAGCAGTCACTACCAAAATGCGTGAGAATGATAATATACAAAATTAGCAGTCAATACCAAAATGTGTGGGATCCTATCACCTCCCCCCGTAAAGAGTGTAGGACTTGCTTTTTGGATCTATTTGAAAAGGTTTCGGAGCTCTTCTTTGTCGAGTTGACGTTTGCGTGGTACTGGATAGAGCGTGATCTGTGTGTCTGCCACATAACTATCCTTTTTCATTCGTACGATAATGCAGCAAGAATTTATCCAAAATTTTTTCCTGTTGTTCCCTCCCCCTTCGCTTTTGCATAAGCACGCTTAAAGGTGTCGACGAAACGTTCAGTAATAGTTGACGTAGGTGGGACACTGTTGCAATTGATGTGGCAGAATGCATAGGAAATATCTCTGGCCATTTGGAAAACGCGTCGACACATATTAAGAAATGCATACTATTGAACGGTCCAGCGAAGTCAACATGAACACGGGACCATGGTTTGTCCGGTCGTGGCCAGGAACATAGTTCTGTCTTGCGTGGACACTTTGATGCTTGAGCACATTTACTACACTTGCGAACGAGGTCTTCGATATGGTCATCGATGTTGGACCAGTAAACATAACTGCGAGCGATCGCCTTCATTCTCCCTACACCAGGATGTGATATATGAAGCTGCCGAAGCACATGGTCACGAAGATTAGCTGGAACGACAACACGATCAGCAAACATTATGCATCCATTAACGATGGATAGGGATTGGCGTCGCTGGTAAAACTGTTTTAAAACATTTGAATGAACATGTGGAGGCCAGCCAAATCGGGTGAACTTTGATACTTGCTGTAAAACTGGATCACGCAGTGTGTGTCTGGCAACCTCAACTGCAGTCACCGGAAGATCGTCCAGAGAGATAGACATTATAATTGGGTTGTAATTTACACAGTCAAAAATGTTATATAGTTGCGCTGAACAGAATAAAAACTGTCGTCGTTTGCTTGTTATAACTGCAATGAATTAAGGTAAATCCCCGTCACCAATTTGTTATATCTGTAGGGAATTGAATGAATACGTTTTCACCTTGCTCTGTCTGCGCCTGAACTAATCTGTCTATCTGCTCGTCGTACCTTCCGACTTAGTAAAGCACGCAAATATCAAAAGACAAAGGCTGGACTGTGACTGTGTATTGAAGTGCAACAACGATAAAGAAAGCCATGGTATTTATACATTTTACAACAATATGGACAGCTAACAGCATTTGAAATAATTGACCTTAATAGCCAATAACAAAGTGTGTGAGAAATGATAATATGCCATATGTGCGACATTGACAGTCAGTAACAAAATGTATGGGAATGATAATATACCATATATATAAAATTAGCAGTCACTACCAAAATGCGTGAGAATGATAATATACAAAATTAGCAGTCAATACCAAAATGTGTGGGATCCTATCATACATAGGTCAAACTAGTAGGTCAGGGGTAGTCAGATTTGCAGAACATAGGAATTTAGCTAAGGTAAGAATGGTTGACCCTGAAAAGATAAGTAATTTAGAAAAAAGCTCAGCTATTGCACTTCACGCATTAATACACAACCATACAATAGGGTAGGATGGGGTTAAAATTCTAAAAAGTAATCTAGGTAGGTGGAGATAGGGATTGATTACTGAATCCTGCCTGATTCATCGAGTCTACACATGCAACAGAAGTGACTCAATACAAGTACCAGAAATATGGAGGATATTATTACCACCAGTCAAATCAGAGGAGGATAATATAAATAATCTTAAAATTCTATTTCAATTCAAACACGTCACAACATTCTAACAAGTTACTTATTATGACTATAAAAAAAACACTCGTCTTATTTCCCATCTGATTGTAATTGATCAACAACACTCATATGCTTATTTCTGAATATACATTATCGTATATTGATTCTTATCTAAATATCTAGTCAATTCCACACTTGTATATAAATGAAGGAAAGAGTTGTGTGAATAACTTGATATGATTACGAGAGATAACAATTTGTGCTCGAAACGTCATCAGTTAATATTACTGTGTAACACTGTGAGATTTTCAAAATAAAATCTTATCGAATCCCGGTGGGTGCGTACTGCTGAAGAGTCCCAAACTAGGACGAAACAGCTGTCCAGTACTCCCAGGTTTTCCAATGCTTCTCTAACTAATGTCAGCTCATGATGAAATCCTGAAATAAAATCTTATCCATAATGGAGTTATGCTTTACCACATTGCCAAAGTTTTATACTTATATCAAAAACTACTGGACAGCTATTTCGTCCTGGTTTGTAATCCTTCATCAGTAGGCACTTATGACCCTATCGGCAATAGAACTCGGGACTTTCGGGTTAAAAGGTGAAGTCGTAGACCATTTAGCCACTAGGATTGAAACTAATGGCCCATCGATTCAACTTGTAACCAAACTTAAAATCAATCAAATCCCTACTGACCAAAAATATTCTCAAGACACTTCCTTATCATCTTGTAGCATTCTACAAGACTGTTTACTGTATGCTTTGAGCGTTGAATTTAACCCTTATCATTTACTTATATAAAAAGTGAACTTCTGTTAAGGAAATATATGTCTTCTCTAGCCAAAATTAAAAAAGGCAAGCACATAAGAGAAATACAATGCGGATAAATTTTCAGAAAACCGATAATCAGTTTAACCCTAATTGGTTAAACGGATATAGGCGTCGGTAATAACGCATCAGTTTGTTTTCCACCTGAAAGGGGGATTTAAGCCATGTGAGGGAAATACCGACAGGTGTTTATAGGCAATATCTGTCTGTCTTTTACATATTTTGAGAGTATTATAACTTTACTAAAGCTTTAGGTGAAAATCAACGTGAATATTATTTTGGTTGATGATAACTAGCGGTGGAATCCAGGATGTTCTTTTCGTTGTATTTCAAACTTGTTATCTGAATGTGTTCTCATTCTCAGTGAGTGATTTTATTCCCACCGAGACTTGAACCCTGCACCAGGTGTTTCAGATGCCAAAGCATTATACACTAGGCAACGAGGGTCATGACTGAGAGCACCATTACTCACTAGGAATGCAGGTAGGCGCAAATGATGAGTCCTAAATGGGGGTGAAATATTCATTCTGTATTCCACCACTAGTCACCATCTGTTAAAATAACTTCACATTAACCCTTAGACATTGTCGTAACTTTGGTGTACTAGGAGCTTGATTGTCAACAGACATCGAGATATTCAGTTTAACATAATGCATCCAGCGGTTATGACTCTCGCCGATCATGCACACGGTCCGGGGTTAGATCCGCTGCCGATGCATACCTGATATGAATTGGTCGGCCTGCAAATTTTGAGCTACCGATATCGCATGCTGAAAATTCCATACATGTACCAAAAAATCCGGGGTAAAATCAAGCTGTAATATAAAAAAATAGTAATACTTAGATGGTAGACAAGATAAATGAACCAGTTCAACTTCACCGTTACTGAGAAATCGTGGATTTATGATTTTGTATAAAACTAAACTGAGTTATCAACGTAGAAATTTGCGTTAAGGTGCAATACTTCAATCTATTACACTTCATATACATATAGTTGACGAAAAGAAACGCCATTGTTTGTTATCATATGGGGGACGTCTACCAGCTAGTCTTCACTTCCTCAAACCAGCCGCCAAAGCCACTCCATAGATCTGTATCATGTTTTGACTTGATCACCCTTTACTCTTTCTCGACCCAATCTTGTGTCATCTAACGTTGGTCGAGGAGTAAGGCGATATCTTGGCATTGGCATGTGTAACAACTATCTCAATCGATGCAGCTTCACAAAATTATTGATTGGCAGCTTCCCCTCGTTACCCAGCACTCAACAACCAACTTCAATATTCCTTAATTACATTAGACAACATAACATGAATGAACATAGTCGTCTGTGGTCAAAAAAGTCAACGATAAGTCTAGCTGTGCTGACAAATCATGCAAAATCATTAGAGTTTGTGATTAACTTTGTATAGAAATAGAGTTTATTGTCTTATAGAAGTTGAATACCATTCATTCTTTATCAAAATCTTGTCTAGTGACTTCTGATTTTATTTCTTTTTTTCAGGCGATACATATTCAAGTGGTTCGCATAGCCTTCGAAGAATGCCGCGCAATGTTTCAAGCAGTCGAACAGATCAGGTATGTTGGCTTTTCACTTATATACGTATGTAACATGTAACAAATGTCATTATTTGACAACACGATCAATTCTTTTTCGCTTTCTTCCTCTCTTACTACCGGTCTCCGTCTATCATACTTCCTCTGACTTTCTGCTTTACTTTCGATGTCTGATCTGTATATCTATCTCATTAATATGAAATAAGGAAGGTAGGAGTTTTTCTGTCATAATTTGAGGATTACTAACTTTGAAGTGAATGCATAAGTGGCTGAAGGAGGGAGAAAAAAAAGCAAGAAGAAGGGAGGTCTTTGAGAATGTACAATGAATGAAATCAATAATCCAGTCATCTGGGATGTTTTCTGTTGTAGGCTAATGGTATAGTAATAACAGTTTATTACTGTTATTGTTCTCCCCTGGTTTCCAGGTTGAACATTGGGCTTCAACAGAACATCTTCATTTCGTCCTATTTCCTGCGGTCTTCTTCAGCTGGCCCCACGATTGCCCATAGTCTCTTACATCCTTCTTACACCATCTCCGTATCATCCTTGGACGCCTCCACTCGAGGTTCTGCCTGGCGCACAATGTCATATGACGGTCGTCTCCTCAGTGGATGCCAGGTCCGTCTTCAGAGTATTTGTAGAGCAATAGGTTCTTACTTGGTTTGTAACCGGAATAGATTACTGACTCTTCAGTTGACAATTTGAATAGTCCATATCCATTCCACCTGGTCTTGCAGATTCGCAACACTTCTATGCTGTACCTTATCATTTCGTTGGCAAATTGGATATCCTTTCCAGCTTCGTACATTGTACAAACACTTTACGTCCCTGTCTTTATTTTTGCTCTTATGTCTTCCATGCGTCTTATGTCGTTAGTTACGTATTGCATAATAATTAGATGCATAAAATAGGGTGAATTTGTGCTACTGTCTAGACCGATTTGTGAAAAAAACCACCACTTGATATTACATACCCTATATGCATAATATAATATGGGTTAAGAAGAGGGTACCTAAGCGGTGCAACTGTTCCTCACAAAAGTGAAAATGCGAATATGCACATCTGGTGCTTACAAACGAATTGGTAGAGAAATAGGTCTGCGTAGGGTGGAGGACTTGAAAACCCTGATTGTATCACTATAGTGTATGTGAGCTCCACAATCTGAAAGGATCGAAAATAGTATGAACTTGATTTCATCAACGTAGGAAGGTAGCTTCTGACGCTGCTCCATCAAGTTCTATAATAGTTTTCATTGTGTAATATTGATTGAAGATGAGACGAAGTATGTTTAGAAATAATTTTAGCGTTTACAGAATCCATTTCTAAGCAAACATTCTGTGTATGCATACAAAAGTAATAGTAATAATAATCACTTTATACCGAACAATAATAATCACACAGAATGGAATATTTGGCGTTACGCATTCAAATGAAAGAGACGATGAAAATATCTAGTTACCAGAGCAAGGAAAGAGTGATAATCGCCTCTTTCTGAACACATAAATCGGGTTTCAGGCTGTTGATGGAGATCACTTCAGTAAACTTAAGGAGGATTGAAATCTTGTGTATTGATAATTTTGAACGATCTTGCGACGTCTAGCTCATGAACCGTGTCAAGGAGATGGCTGGCGATGGCACTGTTGAAAGCATTTGTTCCCTTCAGATGTAGGTTTTTCAGTACATGTTCAGAAAATCTGAGGTATGCCCTTCTTGATAACACGTACCCCATATGTATGATTTATTATAGTATGAATGGAAACGAAAAGGGTCAAGAAAAGGTTACCTAAGCTGCGGGGTTGTTCTTCACAGAGATGAAAATACGAATGCGAATATCTGGTGCTTACAACCGGATTGATGAAGGCGAGGGGGAAAACGCTGGTTTCAAGCCTGTGGTTTACACGGGTACACTGGCTCCATAATCCGAAAGAATCGAACGGCATATGGACTGCGTTTGGTCACAGGGATCCATATGAACTTAACTCCTGATGCTGACCCACTTCCTTGTGAGTCAAACTTCAAGTCCAAAACTCATGGGTGGGGTAGCCACCATAAGACGACCCCCTTCTTTGATCTGGATATCTGGACAATATTCCAAGCCTCGCATGAACTAAGAGATTTGTGTGGTGCATCTCTTGGTACTCATAATAAACCAAGTTTGTGTTTCACTAATACTAATAACAATATGGTTAACAGAATGTTATTTATAATCAACAGAAACTTATATCTCTTATTGACTTTGTTTTGAAAACTATGAAGTTTTTGTTTCGGGTGATTAGATCGTAACTTAATTTGCTTTCTATAGTCATTGTACAGTTGTTGGATTTCATCATGAAGCGACACCAGCTAAAGAAGTGTTGAAATACAAGGGGAGATTGAATGGATGTTTTGATCCTAGTTTGTAGACTCTTCAGTAGTACGCACCCATGACAACATCACGAATTGAGTCTGTGACTTACAAAGTTACGATGCGATATATCGATTTTCCAATCTGATAGTCCATGAATTCTAGAGTATGACACAAGATGCTTAAAGGTGGTCAAATGTTATTAAATGCGGGATGAAAAACCAAGTTCTACACTAGGCTTCATTGCTGTTTTTTTACATTTGAAGTGTTAGTATTGGATGGTTGGAGGCAATCGGCCACAGGAAACCTTTGCCCTAGGTTTCGTGCTAGTTGGCACTCATCAGCAAGGCTTAACTACAACCTTGAAGGAACTCATGTCCTTTCTGAGATTCGAACCCACGTCACCCAGTGTTGCGGTCAGGGACTTTACCACTGAGCTGTTCGGGCCCGCCCTTGACTTCCTGTAGAACTGTAGTGGACATTTCGATTGGATACTGGTAACTAGTGAGATGTGTCAGCACCGGGTGACCCGGGTTCGAATCTCCGAAGGTACATGAGTTCCTTCAAGATTGCAGATACGCCTTACTGACTGACGAGTGCCAACAAGCCCGAAACTTAGGTCCAAGGCTTCCTGCCGATCGCCTCCAACCATCTAATATCATCATATCAATGTGCACCGTGATGGCGAGCTACCTTGAATGGTGGCCACATTACAAACCTGAATGACAGAATTCAGTCTGCACCAAAGATAGAACTAAACACATCACACTAGTTACTAGTGTCCAAGCAAAATAGAACTGCTAGTACTATTCTGCAAGTCATTAGTGACTGACTTCGGGATGAACTTTCTCGTGAGAAGACGTGATCGATGTTGGCCACCAACTTAGACTTTAGGATAGATATACTGGCTTATGGTGTTGCTTGACGACTACACTATATGTCGCGTGACATGACAAGAATTAGGATTTATCTGCCATTGGATTCCATTCCGGTGACTAGATAATCAACAGGTGAACCTCATAATCTGAAGATGCTAGTTTTGATCTCTGATCGGTTCTTATGGGCTTGTACTGCTGAAAATTCCTCAGCTAGAATGAAAAAAGTTGTCCAGTGCTCTTTTGGTTTTCAGGGATTTTCTAACTGGTATCACTTCCTAATGTGAAATAAACCCTGTGATCAACTGAAGTCTTATAATGGCAACACTTGTTGTGTCTTAATCTACACTCATAACCAGACTACCAATTGTATTGAAGACTTTTAGGGGGTTTTCGGTACACAATGATGAATATTCATGATTCAATGGAATTTTAAGTACTTGAATAAGGCATTTGTTAAAAATGCTCTTTCCTCTACATAGTCTTATCTATAAATCATATTATTCCTATAGGTAGGAAAATAGTCTGATTTAATCTTGATTTCTATGCTGAATAATACTACTACTATTATTATTGTTGATAATTAAGGTCAGATAGTTTCTTTTTCTTTGAAATGAGTGTGCTAGCGGTAGTGCGGTGTTTTTGTGTAGATGTGCGTGCACACGTGTGTGTGTGCCTGTGTCTGTACTTGCTTCTTTCGATTTTTGTGTGTTGTGTGCCACTCTCTGTCTCTTTCTCTCCCTCTCTTTGTGAAATGATGATAACAAGAAGCAGGTACGGTATATATTGATTAGCTATCAGGCGTGGTTTCCTTTTTGTGTGTTCTTACTGTGTCTGGGCTTTTATTTGTTTAGTTGGTTGGTTGGTCGGTTCTATTTTAGTGCAACCTGTAAACAGCCGGCTTTAACCTTGCCTTCACTGTGTTTTGTAAAATTTTACATTTGACCTTTCATACCTGTGTCTATACCTGTTTTTATTTTCATGTAGTGGGCTTAGTTCCTTTGGTGATTTACTTCGATTATTTTGATGAATCACACTAGGTTACTTTTACGTATGTTTTTTGTGTATCTATGTGTACACAATAATGAGTGGGAGTGTGTGTGCTTCGGAACAATATATAGAGATGGGCAATCCTTTTTTATGTACATTTATTATCGATTACCATTAAAGCAAACCCTGTTTTGTTTTCTGAAGTCGATAACTCTGTGGATCATTCTTTGTCTAATAGGTCAGTAGGAGAGTACCTATTGATGAGTGATCACACTAATGTGTGTATGTCATTTTGTTTGATTTGTATTCAGTAAGCAATTCTATTGAACTAGAGGTGTTACTGTACTGTATTAATTATTCACCATAACAATTCCATGAACCAACATCCATTAGAGGACATTTCTTTTATTTGTTAACGTCCCCGATGGAACATAGGACTTCAAGCTAGAACTTTGAAGTGTCGGTGGCTGTGGTGTTTATTTTTACGGGATGGGGCTGCTAGCCTCATGCCCAACCTCCCCTCCTTACCAGCCTTATTACTGGGTTAGCGAGGTAAAGGAATGCGTCAGTGGCCGGGGATCGAACCCTGAACCGTATGCGTGGTTGGCGAACATTCTGCCGCTGTGCCACCGACAATTTTGAAAATAAAACCTCAAAAACACCATTCCCTAACCCATGAGGAAGTTTCAGACAAACAGGAATTTATTTGACAAAGACTGGAATTCTGACAGATAGCTGCCACTAGGCAGGACTATGTATTGTAATAATCCAACAACATGCACTGGCTCGACTAAAGGATTATGCACAAACGT